GATGTATTCCTCGCCATTGGGATTTGTAAAGGCCTGTTTTTTTTTTACTTTTGCTAAAATGGTAGAACCGCTGATTACTAGTCCTGAATTAGCCCTACAGCTTAAACCCTCCCTCCCCCACACCATGTACTTTCCTCATGCATGAGTGAATCAGATTGTTTTAGCCTGCAGTATGAACATATATAGTCTTTATTAATGGGAAGCCCTTTGAGATGTAGCATCTCATTTAACTGCTACCATAATACAACAGTTGACTTGCCTTAGACAAAAGAGAGTGGTGGACACAAACATGATTAAAATCCTGCAGATTGTTAAAACTTTAAACATGAATTTGTGTAAATCTAAACTAAATAGCTCTGAGAGCTGAAGTTCAATGTGCTGCTATCTGGAACAGTGTCTCTAAATGGAGCACAGTCTTTGGTTCATGGCCATGGCATCCAAAAATTTTGCTACGTATATTGTCAAAGCTGTGCGGTTGCATCTCTGGACCAAGCCCAATGAGGTCATTTCTGAATGCAGCAGAGAACAAAGACTGTCCAGTTGGCTCAGGGCCATTTTGTAGGCCAGGCCCCAAATTTGAAGAAATGGGATGACAAAGTGCTCCACGTTTTTACTGGAAACATGTTCCTTCACTTGGCATCCTTCCCTGGCTTCTTGCTCTGGATACATCATCTTTCCTTTTCGCTCTATCCCTATCCATCCTTCATGCTTTTCCTCCCTACTCCCTCATCTCTCTCCTCTCAGGTCAACTCTCTATGTCAGTGTCCTCTGGTCCCTCACGGTCTGTGCCCTCGGACTACTGTGCCATTTACAGTACATCCACGCAACTGAAGAGACATGAATCTAATTGCACAGGGACCTGGAGTAAAGCATGTCCTCTTTTCATATATCTCATCTCGGTGCTCTGCAACGAAAAGTCAACCAAGAAAAATGACGTACTCCTAATGTACTCTGATGGCATATAAATGGATTTTAGATTGATTTGTATGAGGTTAAGTACCTTTGTACTAAATAGCAGTTATGTTATGTTGCTCATTTGGTATTCTAGGGTTATTGTAGGGTTAATAAAGATAGACGTAAAGGCAATCATTAACATTTACACTGAAGCCTAACTATAAGTCCCAGTGCAGTCCAGAGCATTTGGATGTCCTTGAACAGCTGGAGGAAACTGGAACACACTGAGAAACCCCCCATGGACTCACACAGAGGAACAGAGCTACGCTTTAAACCTGTGTCCTTGTTGTTCGGTTATGCAGTGGCACTAATGACTACACTGCCGTGCTTCTGCTCACTACAAACTGATGGGGAGCTTGTACAGTAGCTTAATATGCTGATGTGACACAAGCAAAGCGATTTCTATTTTTGACTTGAACCCTTTTATAACTGGATACAAAGAGAGTCCAGGCAGCTCACACAACGTATAGTTGTAATGCATCACAATGTAGCTTACTACAGCTGTGACTTTGCTAAAGGCAGTCCTGGGCCTCACAGGCTACCATCCTGCATGCTTTATTAGTTTCTCGGCTCCAAGCCGCCTGCTTGAAAGATTAGGTCATTAACAAGCATTAGCAGAACTTTCGGACACTATTAAAGCACTTCTTCAGGTGTGTTGGAGTAGAGAAACATCTAAAACACAAAAGGTGGTGGCCCATGATGACCATTGGAATACTGAATAAAGGGGTTCCTAGATGTTTCAAACAGTTTAGTCATTTTATCTGCTGGATAAATGTGAGAGATTTCACTCGCCAGCTGCCAAACTGCATTACCCAGGATGGCTTTACATCTGACAAATCATCAATCAAGGTTGTTAGAGTGTAAATTAATATGAAAGCACATTGTCTGAGACTAAATACTAGCCCGCCAAATTACCATTGGCCACTTCGGGAACAAGCATTTTGAAACCATCCTATCCCTTGACCTTGGGTCAAAGCCTCTCTGCAACCCTGCCGATGATATCAGACAAATGGCTCTTCTAAGAGCCAACAAACAGCCTTAGATACAAACAAGCATCCCAGCTCCCTGTCATGACCTGGAGAGATCTCAGACTAGACGTTTCCTATCGAAGCTAATCTAGGGGTTCCTGTACCGAGAGGTTCACTCCGACAGCAGTGTCCATCACGACCTCTTGACCTCCTGGATCGCACAAGAATCTCCACAAAAGGGCATCGTAGACTCAACAGATTGCGTCGGATGGTTTTATAAACAAATCTCTAGTTTACCAAACATACAGCCAAATTTATTTTACAACCCAGACTCCACACACTCTCTCAGATACTTAAAAATGTTTTTGCTAAAACATGTAGCTTCCATTCCAGCATTACACACATCACATTAAATCACTTCATATCCATTACATTACATCATCATTCATACGTTGTCTTGTATATTCATTAGTTTAGGGAAATAGAAATAAATTCATTTTTATAAACTATATACTTGACTCTGTCTGGTTTAATATGAAGTGTGTTTATGGTCCCTGAATAAGTAAAAGTAAGTTGTGTCACTGGTTCTGGTTTGCTTCGGGTCAGTGGCCAGAATGTTCTGCCCCATCTCTCTCTTCACCACCACAGACCAGTACAACGCCAGTACCACTGCAGATGCAGCACCAATCCGCCTTAGATCTCCCAATCCATCTTTCCCTCTTTCCTGAACTTCCTGGGTCAAATTTGTGTCCCATCTAAGATTCAAGCACCTTTGTTAAGTTTTGAAAATGTAAAAGTGTATTTGTTACTTAGTTAAAGTTGGTGCAGTATTAAAGTATTGGTTGCATTATGTTTCTGGTTATCTATTGCGAAAAGATCAGTGTTGGTGGAATTAACTAGATCCAATATGTGACCTTTGGTGAGTGCACGACCTTGAACTGGTTGTGTAGCCCAGTAGAAATTCTGAGGTGAGAGAGGAGCTGGTGGACATGTATTAGAGTCACCAAAGAAGAGTGTAAAGGGATACCTGGAGCAGGCTAAAGTTAGTATCAGAGACAACCTAGACGTGAAGGACACACAGGTAGAACTTATTCGACCAGATTAAAAACAAGACTGCTGTTGCCTCTGATGCTGGACAAAGTGGTCAGTGGATTTCAACCAGTCTATAGCCAAGACTCATGTTTTGTTGATGGAAATCATTGATATTGATAGGCTAGAAGTAGAAAAGGTTATATTTTCCTTTTTTGTTGTCAGTGGATTATTGGACCTCTTTTATAGAGATGACTCTGTTGCTGAGGTTGAGCACAGATCTTACGGTATGAACAGACATTAAAGTCAAAGGAATTTCAAATCATAAATGCAAGCTAACGTTAATTGGTAGAAGAAGCTGAGATGGTCTGTGGGGAATATTCTAAGAGAACCTTTAAGCAGGATAAATGTAACAGAAGCCAACAAGATGGTGGTATAAGGATTAAGATGAAACAGCATCAGTGTCCTGAAGAGCAGGGCAAGATGGCGATGCTGGATGAGGATGTCCTGTCCACTTTTTGTTGAAACCAGATGTCCAAAGAAGCACGTAGCCTTTTCAAATACAGAGGGGGGATCTGAAAGGCTAAATGGAAAAATCTGATGAAGCTATCCACTCGATAAAAGTAAGCGTTAATCACAAAAGACACAAGTCCTGTTGAGTATTCAGAGAAAAATTTGAAGTCCAGCAACTTTCAATGAAAACAGCAGAAGATCGCCAGTTGACACAGTAGGGCAAGCAGCTAGCAGACAGAAGCTGACATCTATTAAGTTATCCTTTTAGAGCCCTACAGGCTGTTACTTCATCACACTTAACCTAACCAAAGGCAACGTTTCTGATGCACCCAGAAGAGCTCTGGCTCTAAGCTAGTGCTGCGGTCAAGGGCGCTGCCCTGCTACCACCCTGCGTCCACAGATGCAGCTAAATAATCCAACTATCTGATACGGTTGCTGGTTTATTTACATTTTGCAGCTTTACACTCAATCTTTGAACTTTTTTTTTTTTTGCAAGCAGACTCAGATACTTAAAACAGGTTTTTAAGCCCCATTTACCTTTAAAAGTGTTATCTCATAAGTTGTTGAGCACCATAGCTAAACACAGCAAAAACTCCATAGCAGTTGGTACATGATTGAGTTTTAGTGACTGTGGAGTTGCTCTTTTCTTTATGAAAAACCTCTAGCATCATTTTAGTGCAGGAAAGTCTGTAAAATCACACTTTAGACTGCACAGCAGGAAGTCATGCAGGATAGCGTGCACTAATAGCCAGACCCATAGCTGAAATGATGAAAACAGCTCAGATCACAACACAAACAAAGGCAGGGAGTCACTTCTGTCCTTGTAAGAACAAACACAACAAATAGCTGTGTTAAGTTCAAACTAATGTCTGTTTAACCTGATAATCCTGTAGTTTCAACAACTATACATTTCTAACAAATGAACACAATCATATTCATTGTCCTTCTTTGACAAGCTCAGTAACAAGTCAAGTTCCCCCCACCTTTCAGTCAGACTGATAAATAGAACCTTTTCTATTTAACTAATAAATATGGCAGATTTACAGCAACTACACAAAGAAACATTAATATAATAGGGTACTGTGTGAACAGCCTTGTTTATAAAGCCAAACGCATCTAAGTCAAAGGTCAGCTGTTTTTATACAAAGGTCATATGCTACAAATGCATCTTCATACGTGGCCTATTGCTAAAATATGTTGTTAAAAGATTCACAGCTCATCAGTTCATGCTGTGATGTGGTATTTATGAGAGCAAATTGTTTTGTCTCCAGTCTCGACTTAGCATTTGTGCCATCTTATCGCTTCTCTCTGCCATTGTTCATCTGTAGCGCTCATTAGGTGGAAACAAAAGTCTCACAAATTATAGACATGAGCATACAAATCTGTTTAATAAACAGACGTAGCGCCTGCATGAATTCAACACACATACCCAAACACACACACACACATACACACACACACACACACACACATACACACACGCATAGCTATCTTAACTCGTACAAGAGAACAATAGTGAAAACAGGGTTGCTGTACCTTTGCTTCTACCTACAGATTTTGGAGAAAGAATCCGTGGAGATAAAAGAAGTAGGAGAGTCATCCCAGGCAGAGCACCAGAGAAAGACAGTAAAATGTTGAGTTAAGAGATTGTTAGTCTGCATTAATCCTCAATGCCACCAATTGACACGGGCATGCAAAATGTTACCACAACCATGCAACAGTAAAAAGGTGGGACAAGCGTGCATGATCAGAACACAATAGCTCATTGTAAATAAAGCAAGTGAAAATATATCATGTGTGTTCATCAGATGTTAATCCTAGAGGTGGACCAATAAGGATTTTTCAAATTGATGCCAGTTGTGTTCTTTGTGTTCCTATGATTCTGGCTCGAAGATATGATTGTTTAAAAATCAAACACATCGCTAGATGTTACATGAAGTTAAATTTTAGGAAAGAAAGATGGTTATAAACATCATTTGGGCTGGCACTCATAATAAGGTGATTGATGATAAATAGTGTGGATGGCATAAAGCCCAATACACAACCTGGTGATTAGGAACACCAACAATTAATAGACAAAGAACTGTTGCAAGGAAGTAGAAAATTAAAGAAAATTAAATCTCCCCCTAGTGGCTGGTTCCAGTATTGGGTTTAGGCCACTCCCCCTCTATCTAAACAAATGGGAACTTGGAAATTGATTCATCAAGTTCTTACCTTTACCTTACTTCGTCTACTATCTTTAGTTGTAATTACTTATGTATCCTGAAATATCAATATAGATGGGAGTAGGTATGATTGTGTTGGTCCCACAAGCCAAACGAACCGACACATTCTCACACCCAAAGCGGCGAAAACTGATGAAGGGTGACCAAGCATTTGGAGGTGACGAGCAGTGCTAGAGTGTCTCTTTCCGACGCCCGCAGTAAAACGGAGATTTTAGCAAATTGTGACCTTTACCCTCTTGCAATTTAACCATCCCCTCACCTCTATCATACCCTTAACCCACTTACGCATGGAAAACTTTGTTTCTTGTTGTATCGTTCCTCTCAGACATGGTTAATTGGAAATTTAGAACGAGAACTGGGTTAAGGTTAGGATGGGGGTGAGGGGAAGGTTAAATTGCTAGAGGTTAGAGGTTAAATGTCGGATTAGCACGTTGTGTGTCGGTAAAATGCATCTTCCTCACACAATAACAAGCAACTTACCTTGTACAATAAAGGGGGAAAAGTAACTTGAAAAGATGTTGCACTAGTGCTATGTCTAAAAATTAGTTTTTTTCATCCCTGTACAGCCCAGTGATGGTTATTGCAACTGTCAGATTGCAAGTAAATTTAAATAATACATTGAAAGACTCATAAGGCAACCCCATCTGTAACTGTTACAACGCAGAAAATCTGCCATCCAAGATATTCATTCCTAGAGACTCTAGCAATACAATACTATGTACTTGACTACTTCTTATCCTCCATTTTAGAGCTCGTTTGTGCTTCTTCCACCTTGTGCAAACTGTCTCTCCAAATTCAGGTGATTTCCTTTTCCACCCTCCTGCTTGTCTGCTTTTCAACCCCCACCTCCTCCTCCAATCAGTGGACAGTGTCACTGCACGTTTGCTCTGGAACTGAGACTAGTACGCCGTTATGTAACACAAAGCAACCTGGATGAAGCAATGCTTAAGAGACTCAGCAAAGACAGGGAGAAAGCATGTGAAGTGGGACATGCTATGCAGCCATGCACACATAATCACCCGCCCACTTCTCTGCCGCAGCGGCGGGAGCAGTCAACCCAACAAATACGTATGGACATGCGGAGAAGGCACGCAGTGCAAATTTACACCCCAAAACCAAGCCGGGAGGTGAAAGGACCACACAGATAAAAAACAAAAAACAGAACTAGACAGGAAAATAGAAGAGTACCTTGTTCTGCCTTCAGGTGTGCGAGTTCTTGAAGAGAAAAATCGGACAGCAACAGAGAGAAAGTAAGAACACGCCAATACTAAACTTGTATTGTCATTTACATGCTTTGCATGATGGCAAACCATGACGATCACACTAAAATCAAAGCTTTCCAAAAATGCACCAGAAAGCTTTTAAGGTGCAGAAATAATTACTAAAAGAAACACTCTACATGAAACTGCTTCAGATGAGATGACATGTATCTTGAATGAGCAAATAAAACACAAAGTTAGTCCAAAAACCCTTAATGAAAATGTTCTTGCTTCAGCATACAGATGTTCTGAATGTTTCCTAAGATTTTTTGCTTCATATATTTCCCCATATTTGCATTGGATCAACTTTAAACTTATTTATTGATCATTCTATTTAACCATATTTATTTTTTTTTTAATTGGGTAAATTTTTTTCCTGCATATGACTATCTAGGCCTTTCCACCAGACATGTAGACATTGCATAATGTCTGTGAAAGTTAGCACTCAGAAATTAGCCATTGCTAAAATGGATAGGTGCGTTTGTTACAAAAGAGTCCCCAAAGCGTAGGGATGCATTATGCTTCAAGTCTATTTTTTTTTTTAGTGCTACACTTCTAGAACGCATCAAGCTCTGCATTTCAGATCGGGCCAGACAGGAAATGCAAAACGAAAGCAAACAGAACGGAACATAAACCACAGACATTTTTTTAGATACCTTGGATCTCCTAGTTTGTTACTGCAGAAATCACGTGTGGTCTTGCAATTCTCCCGCCATTTTGTGACTTTGCAGCACAAGCTGCGTGGAACGCTTTGCTGCCATTTCATATCTGAAATGCTCACAGTGGGAAGGAAGTAAACTGTATCTCTTACATTAAACTGGATGAGCCTGGATGATACCTCTCGTTCACAACAAGTGCGGAATGGATGTGGTCCGGTTTTTGTACGACTTCCGGACAAACTGTCATTCACTTCAACTGCGGTTTGCGTGCTGAACGTCTCTGGAAATCTGCTCTCACAACAACACCAAATAATTAGAAATCTGGCATAATTATTAAATATATAACTAACTGTGAAAATAACAGGAAACTCTCATACACTGTAAACTGATTTTTCTGTTGTTAATTATAAAAAAGGTAGAAGAAAAATGCAACATGTTTTTTTATTTCATTTTGAAATATACCAGATGCACCTCACTTCCTGTCTGGCTCATCTTATGTCTTTGTAGTCGTCTTCCTCTGCTTATCCGGGTCTGGGTCGCGGGGGCAGCATCCCAACTAGGGAGCTCCAGACCGTCCTCTCCTCGGCCACCTCCACCAGCGCCTCCGGCAGGACCCCAAGGCGTTCCCGGACCTGATTGGAGATGTAACCTCTCCAACGGGTCCTGGGTCGACCCGGGGGCCTCCTGCCGGCAGGACATGCCCAAAACACCTCCCCAGGGAGGTGTCCAGGAGGCATCCTGACCAGATGCCCAAACCACCTCAACTGACTCCTTTCGATCCGGAGGAGCAGCAGTTCTACTCCGAGTCCCTCCCGAATGTGCGAGCTCCTCACCTTATCTCTAAGGCTGAGCCCGGCCACCCTACGGAGGGAACTCATTTCAGCCGCTTGTATCTGCAATCTCGTTCTTTCCGTCATTACCCAAAGCTCATGACCATAGGTGAGGAATGGGACGTAGATCGACCGGTAAATCGAGAGCCTGGCTTTCTGGCTCAGCTCCCTCTTCACCACGACAGACCAGCTCAACGTCCGCATTGCTGCAGAAGCCGTACCAATCCGCCTGTCGATCTCCCGATCCCTCCTACCCTCACTCGTGAACAAGACCCCGAGATACTTAAACTCCTCCACTTGAGGTAGGACCTCTCTCCCGACCCGGAGTTGGCAAGCCAACCTTTTCCGGTCGAGAACCATGGTCTCAGATTTGGAGGTGCTGATCCTCATCCCAGCCGCCTCACACTCAGCCGCGAACCTACCCAGCAAGCGCTGAAGGTCAGAGCTGGATGAAGCTAGGAGGACCACATCATCCGCAAAAAGCAGGTCTTTAACGCCATAAAAACCCGCATGTGGCATCCAGAAAAAATAAACTCTGGATCTGCACTGCGCTGCAGCCAATGAGAATGCTCTGACTGGACAAAATGGTTTTTGGGCTACGTAGAAGTTGTACCGAGTCTGAACTTCATCTATCCCATATATGGTGTTAATGAGGCTTAGTTTTTCCAATGACCAATTAAAATGCAAATTTCAGGAAAATGTTCTGTTAGGCATTCTCACTCGCACATGCTATAGTCCATCATATAGCAGTCTGGTCTTTGTGGGGCTATTACTTTCCTTTTTATAAATGTAGGAACCATCTCCTCCCTGCATGGTTGTGTTCTGTGGCTTTTTTAAGATCTTGAACCATCTCACCGGAATATGAAGTCATTCTTTGAATGCAAACAACAGGAAACACACTGATAGAACATCCAGAACAGCCTTTTAAAAGACTAAGACAGATAAGAAAATGAAGCTGAAATTTTCATGACATCTGTATGCTATAGCGAGAAAATCTTCGGAAAATAATATGAAAGGGTTTTTGAATGAGCTACCATTAAAAACCAGCCAGTTATTTTCTACCCACTCGATAGATTGCTTTCATTTAAAGGAAGCTTCTTAAATGATTAACACAACATGAAGTGTTGCTATAATTAAACTGGAGTTATGACTAATTCCTCTCGAGACTTACCTGGTTTTCTCCTGACTGCTGTGGAGTTGTCACAGGAATAAAAAGAGAAAGAAGCAGAGAGAAGCATTGCATTAGCAACACACTACAGTTGTGTTTGCATGTGGCTCTGACATGCAAAACATACCACACTTTGTATCATTATGCTGTCATGTAAGGGGCAAAGAGGTGTCCCTTACATGCCTGAATAAAACCTTTTTTTAAAGCATCCCTGTAAAGAGAAACACTGAAATCATTGCATCTGTCCCATCCTCTCAGGGAGCCAGATTGACAGCACCCCTTCGACAAACAACCTTTTCACATTTTGACACCAACTTAATATTCCACATCTCGTATCGCACAGACTTCCTCACACCCTGAAAATGACATAAATCCACAACCATGAGGATTTATAGAGTGATGGGTTTGTGGATCTCAAGATGTTTGTTGTATGACCCATGTTTTAGTTCCTCCACCTCACATTTAACCCAACCACTGCATTGTCTTTTGTTTGTTTGCATCAGAAAAAACATCTCAGAAGCATGCTCACCGTTTTATTTTATTTTATTTTTTTTTTCCACCAATGTTCAACAAAATACCAGCGTGATGTAAGATCTGTCCTATACAAACATATGTTGGGTTGTATGTGAAGTTAGCTAAATATCTAATTAACCACTGGGTGCATTTTAATGACCTTTTCAAAAAATTCTTCCATGGATGCACATCTGCCACTGACTGAGTCTAACTGACATTTGCGAACACAGAAAGAATAAAAACATGGTGGATTTTTACAGATACTGGGTAAAAACTGGCGTGGTAGCTGAGAGTCATTAACAACACATACTCTATACATCAAACGTTTGATCAAGGCCCTGTAGTCTTACATGAAACGGCACAGGATATTATATTCAGTTTTTGGCTGAAATGACTACATATCCCTTGTTTCTTATAACATATTTTTCATAACTGAATTATAGTTTAAAGGGGACATTATGCAAACCTGTTGTTTTGGGTTCTTTTGGTCGCTACTGTCTCTAGAAACACCTCAAATGTGAATAAAAAACCTCTCCATCCATTTTCTGTCAATGTTTGGCTTTGGGAATTACGTGCCTAAAACAAGACATTTCTACATTTGTGATGTCCCCATTTGTGACGTCACAAATGGGGAAAGTAGACTAAAACGACCTCTAACTAGCTCCTCCTGGAAAATTCAAGCTTCTCATCATAAAGCAGTATGAGCAGGGGATGTGTGGGTCCCTCATTTGGTTTGATGCAGGGACTTGATCTCTACCCAGTTAACAGCACCGGCCTTTTTCCCACCACTGGAGACAGCTTCAGAGTTTTATTCTGATCCTCTCTGACACATTGAGGTTGTCATATCAAGTGAAATGTAACAAACCTCAACTGAACAAAATTCTTTTGGGAAGACTGTTTCTTTTAGAAGCATGTGGTAAAGGCGATGTTTGTTCCTGTCTCCTTCAGGGACTTTAAAATGGATGCTATGTCTCCCACATAAGGAGAATGACATTGGTGGAGGAAAAGGAAGGACGCAGAATAAGAAGGGGTGGGGTGTTGGGAGATAATGGCCAGCTGATGGACAGCAGTGCAGCTCCAACTCGCAAGGCTTGGGAACACTGAATTAATGTGCATGCATCAGCAGGTACACGGTTATTTTTTCTGACAGTGCAAACGCTTGCACCCATAAATGTGCGTATTCTGCATGCTTGTTAAATTGCTCCGTTTTCCATGTAGATTAAAGCTCCTTTCTCTTGATGCAACAGCACTCAGAGCAAGCCAATGTGCTGCAGAGGACATGTGGTCTGCGCGTAATCCCCTGTTCTATTTTACCAGCAGCTTCAGCACTCAAATCCAAACATAATTTTCAGCTTGGGCACTACACACACAAATGCCCTCTGCTCCAGAACCAGGCAAGTCCCTGCACCAGTTTTTTTTCTTCCCTGACCTACTTTTGTAGTAAGATTATTGCAACTGTCATTTTTTTCCATGCTTGTTTATTAATCCCAAGAGCTAAGCCCGAAGGCATCATTTCGGCACTTGCTTAACAGTTTGCCTGCTCCTAGCCTTCAATTACCACCCTTTAGTCAAGTCAGCTCATGTGTCTTAAACAAACGCTCATTACCAATGCGGAGGATTTTGAAAGACGGAACAGGAGGGATCTTTACATATTCATTAAGCAAAGCCACTGTAGCTGTCATCGACGCTGGCCTTCAGCTGCTTTTACTGTAATGGGAAAACAAAAGTATTCACAGACTTCAAAATGTCACCGACACCAAGTTCATTTAACAGAATTCCATTCAATATCTGGATCATTTCATCGAGCGATCCTGATCTTTTCAGAGCAGACAACAGCAGAAATGTGGTTCAGGAATTAATAACGACAGAAGGATGTAATAATAAATGAGTAGATTCTCTAGGTAGTAACTAACCGTATCATATTAAGCTAACAGAATTAGTCTTTTAGACACATGTTTATGTTTTTGTGCCTCTGCTGTTCCACAATCGCTAAATGAAGTAAAAAATATACATCAAACTAAAGCTCAAGTTTATCTAAAGAAGTTAAGATGGCAGCGAATTAATGACTATGTTTACATGCAGCCAATATCCGGGTTATGATCGGGTTAAGGTCGGTATTCGGGTTTCTGAGTTGATCAGAATAACCTGTTTAAAAGCATGAATAGAAAGAGTTACCCCTAACTTGCATAACCCGATTTAAATGCGGACGTTGGGGTAGCATCAAGACGTATGGACTACATCCAGACGCAATATGCCTCATTTCCGGTTCTTCTTGTTCCGGTATACGTGAAAACAACAACATGTTTCCCAGTTCGGAAGAGATAGCGACCGCGTTTGTTTGCGCTTTAGTTTCTTCGTCACTCCAAAAGTGTGGTGCTGTGCCGCAACTTGTCATTTTGCTCCCAACTTGTTGTTTACTTCCGGTGTTCTGGCGCATACAAGACGTCTCGCTACTCAAAAGACCAAGATTACTTGCGAACAGAGCATGCGCAGAACACACACTTTGATGGGGATATCCCGATATGCGTTTACACGACCAAACATTCGGGTTAGAAAAGGGTTACCCCAGGTGTAGTAACCGGGTTTTTGGCTGTGTTTACAAGGACCTGCGGAACCGGGTTATTGTGAATATTCGGGTTTTAAAAGGGTTACTGGCTACATGTAGGGATGTGTATTTTTGAAATTCTGGCGATACGATACGTATCACGATACAGGGGAGATGATACGATATATCACGATATATTGCGATACATTCAGTCAGACGTAACAAGCTATTTTTTTACTGAATTTATTGTAAGAATGTTCAATAAACAGTCCAAACTGATACGTAACATGTTTAACATGAGGTTTCTGAACCATGATGGAGGGATTTACATTTCAGTGGTGGAAACAAAACCCTCTGCACACTGCTGCCAACTAGCGGGTGGCGATTGAATTGCGCAAAACGAAAAGAAAATACACAAATGTTTGCATGTAAATTCTTTCAGGAATTAGATACACGGCTTTTGAATATCGACTTAATTATCACAGGAAAAAATATCACGATATATTGCCATATCGATATTTCCGATATACAGCTTTTGAATATCGATATAATATTGCTGGGAAAAATATCACGATATATTGCCATATCGATATTTTCTTACATCCCTAGCTGCATGTAAACGCATTGATTGTCCATGTGGGCCCAAGGCATCTTTTAGCTCGTGAACACAGTCTGAATACGGATGCCATTAAATCTCCTGAATTTCATCCTGATTCAAGCAAACATTGTTTTACAAAGCAGTCATTTCAGCGGGATCTTTAAGAGATTCTTGTCCCTGAATGCACTAGATGGGCTACATGTAGCTGCTGATGAGATGTTGACTGGAGTGTAATAGTAGCCTACCTGTGTTCATTCAGATGCATTATGGCCCATAGGTCAGATCAACAATCATCTAAAAGAGGGTGCATGCATTAAAAAATATTGCTTGATTTGTGGAAGTGGGACATTAAGTTGAGGCTGTATGGAAAGCCAAAATGGACATAATATGTGTGATTTCAAACACCTTCAACCGAGAAACAAAGTTCAGAACAGCAAAAGGAATTTTAGAAATCTCTAAAAAAAATACATACACTTGTTTCTTTTTCCTGTTGAACTGAACCTATAAACCCATCTGAACCCCGACCCCTACTGGAAGCGGTGTGGAACAGCAGCAGGAATATTTACTTGCAACAATCGCTGCACTCCAGAGCACACCGGGACAGGCTTCTCCGCTGTGCTCCTCGCTCGACTTGCGAGATAACAAAACCCCTCCAGACTTCCACCAGCCGTCTCTCTTAACTCACAAGATGACAAAATCCCTCAAGTTTATGCCGTCCACCATTAAACCAGAAAGAAGGAAATCACGTTTGATATCATATATGTTGCTGTTCCTCTCCACTGCCAGGATTAAAGGCATGAAAAACACACCACTGCACTTCTTGTGCGATGCGGAGTTAATAGGTCGTTAGGTCACATGTATTTACATAATTTACAATACTTTTATTTTGAAAACTACACTGAAACCATGTGATTTTCTGTCTAGTCCTATGTTAACTGCGGAAATTATTACATCCCAGAAGCGTCTTGCAGCAAAAATAGAACCTGATCCCATCTGTAGTGGCATGGCATGCCGCTTCTGGGATTCACCAAAAAATTGCCACGCCATGACTGGTTTGAATCAACCCCATAGACTATAATGGATTCTAATTGAAGCAGTGAAGCTCCGCAGCTGTTCCGCGATGCTGATGCTTCCGGTGTGCAGTAGGCTTTACACCCGTAATGTTCACACCTCTGAACAACCACAGATTCTATGTAAATTATTGTGAAGATGATGGAATAAACAGATGTATTAAATAATGCTTATAAAGCAAGACCAGAGCTGGTTTTATATTGTGGTTTTAGTTGCACTTGGACTATCCGTTAGCTCATTGATCCTGGTAGTAAACAATATACTTTTTCCAAATAGAAGTCGTTCAGGAAGTTGTCTACAAAAAGTGGGAGTAATTAACTTTTACACCTAAATACACTTAAAATGGCTGAAAAAGGCAATCTCCACTAAAGTGTTTTGGGAACTAAACCACCATCCCAAACAAACTTCAACCATTTTTTTTCTGTGTTCATTTTCTCCTTTTCCATTCCAAATTTCTAATTCTGCTCACTCGCTGCATTCTCCGTCTAGGCCAGCGGGCTACCATTAGGAGCGCGGCTGGCAAAATGTTTTCAAGGCCTGGTCCGCTCACTCCGTTCAGCCATCTGCCCGTTTTAACGAGCAGCTCAGGGGCTTTGTCTGTTAATACATGCAATTGTGTGTGCAGCAGTAAATGCAATGGTTTGGGCAAACGCTCGTAAGGTCTGGACCACGCTGAGCAATAATGTAAATATTCACAGGTGTTGCTTATTAATGCATGGAGTAATCACAGCTACCTACAAAGACAGGTGCGCTAAGCAGTTCCTAAAGTACTGCAGGCATTCTTGTAAACACCCCGTGAAGAATCCCGGGTGTGCTCAGGCATTGCTTGCACAACAAGTCCTTACCACTTGTGGACATGTGATCAAAATAATATTCATGGTATTTGCTGACAGACAATCGGAGCTGATGTCGGTGTTTGTGCAGGCATTTTCCAGGCAAATTAGCCTTCTCTGTTCTCATTATCCTCCTAATTATAGTTCCCAGTCTCTGTGGCATAATCAACAATCAGCCACATCGGTTAATGGGGGAGTGGAGAAGAGCAGGAGTGAGAACTAACATGGAATGAACTCCTGGCTTCATTTTTTAACCCCTAAAAAACAGGAAAGTAAATAAATGCCAGAATGAAAGCTTCTGAGAGAATCCAACAAGGGTGGTTCAAGTTCGGACAGCTGACCTCCTGGGACAAATTAGGGAACAAGAAGCCGGTGGTGAATTGACTCTATTCACTTCCTCTGCCCTGAGGCTGTGAAATGACAGCCTCCTTTCCCCGTAGAACTTAACTCACAAGTGCCCTCTTAAAACCCAGGTTGTTTTGCAACCCAAAGATGTCATCATCCCTCAGACAAATGGACCACCTACTACGTCTCTATTGACTCCTCAGCACAGACAGTGAGCAAATGGGATGGAGCGAATAGAGGTCAAGTCCACCCAGTTCGCCTGGCTGCTCTGCAACCAGCACATCGCATGCCGTTCCACACAATGCCACAGGCCAGTGCAAGAGATGTAAACTCCAAACCGCTTCGTTCTAGCAGCAAGGACGTTTTCGTAAGCTGTTCATCACAGACACTGGAAAACAAAACCAGCTTTATTTAAAATGTGAGTTAAAATGATGTAGTCAGTGAGCATTCTTCTGACTGTTTTGATGTTAGTTTTATTCTGATTTACACAGACAGGAAGTGGATCCACAAGTGAAGGAAATTAAACATGGGTCAAGTCACACAAAGTTTTAATTATTTCCACAAGGAAAAGTTAAATATGCAACATTATACTGAAATATGTGCAATATTTGTCATGAATGCTCTAAATCTGAAAATTCTGGTGAGGTGGAAAATTATTAACAAAAAAGGAAATAAGACAGGAAATAGTGCTGTTTTTGTTTTATATTTCAACCTTAAGAAGCGAGTAACCAGGGACTGTGGTGCAGAAGTGAGTTTTGTGTTCACCATTTAGGAAACTGGATAAAAGAAAGACCAGCAGCAAATAGCTTCTCTTTTATATCATTGAGCTATCTGAGACTACCACAAGAATAAAATCCCTTTTCAGGTCAAAAGTATTAAAAGTGTGGGATAGAGTAGGGTCGAGGGATGGCCTTGGCAAGAAGAAGCAGAGGAAAAACACATGAAGCTGTTTCTCATCCAGAATTTGTGAGTACCTTAATGCCCCTGCAGCACCTTGAAAAATCTAAATCCATTTAATGAAAAAAGAAGAAAAGAAAACTCAGTGTTGTAATTTTAGTCACATCAGCTATTACCGTATCCACCACTGCCTCATCAAATGTAATAACTGTGAAGGGAGAGGAAATGCTGAGCACATCACCTCCAATTTAACTCCCACAAGAATTACCAAGACTTGCTTTGCTGTTTGAGCAACAGCCTGTAAAGAAATATTCAGACGCTCTGACCTGCAAGAATTGCATTAGATGCTTCAAACACATGAGTATATGGCTGCTTTCAATAAATTATGCTTATGTGTCAAAGTATCTTAGCTAACAATCCGTTTCTCTCAGGGCATTTCATAAATAAACTTTGGTGTGGCACAAATCATGTTCGCGGAATGGCAAAATAATTATGAAAATGATATCGGGTGGGCAAGTTTCTTTGAAAAAGAGCCTGACTTTTGCGTCAGCTGATATAAAATCACTCTGATTTCATTTAATGATGTTCTCAGAGTGTCCTGCAAATTTCAGCTTCAGATCTTCACCCATCTTTGCATGGCATAAAAATTTATGGTTGCATCTCAAAGAACCCGGCTACTGATTTTGTTCTACCACATTTCATCTCAATAAGTGGTTGCCTGGCCTGGATTTTTTTGTTTTCTACCCTTGCTGTTTGTGTCTTTTATCCTGACAATGACTTCATATTCCAGCAAGATGGTGCAACCCCTCAAATAAGCTGCAAATCACAACAACACTTTCAGGGTGTGGTTGATGTGTTCATAAGAAAAGGATGAGTGGCCACTTTAAAGACTAGACTGCAAAACAATGCAATGCTAGCCTGGCAAGCCATCCTATATATTTAAATATATACATATCCTGTCTACGACTCAGACAGAGCACTTGTAGGGTCGAATCTTCGATTGTCTTTTAAACGTGCTATTGGTCAGCACTAGGACCAATCATAGCTAGGAACAACACGACATATTCATCGCTACGGAATACGTCAAAGTAGTAGTACCTCGATCTGCTCATGTCTCAAAGTAACTGTCCAAAGTTGACACCAGTGCTATTTTCAACGAGCGCTGTTCCTGAGCCGGCGCCATCTTTGTTGTTTAACTCTGCCGCAGCTCTGATGTTAATGGTGCGTTCCAGTTGTCCTTGGAGCTCATATCTGAGATAAGTTAGCCGGAAATGATGCAATGAACTCAGAATTCCGAGCTGCAAGCTTGTAGGTTTCAAACACCCCAAAATCCCAAATTTAAAGATTGCTGCGCCCAGTGCTACCAGGAAGTAGTTTTTTTTTTCTTTTTCATTTATATGTTCTGTTTTCTTTCTTTATGCTATTCAACAGCACCAATATAGTTATCAATAGTTATGTTGTTGAAAAATGTTAAATAGTCGCCAAAATTGACCGGTGTTTATGGTTTTTACTTTTCCTGGCGTTTATATTTTTACATTTGATTTGTAAAGTTTTCTGGTGGAATGTGGCACATGTGGAGAACTCTTGGTTACATAATTATTTTGGTTTCGTACTCAACAACACTGGTGGCATCTATTTTTTGCAAGTTGGAAGCTGGAACGCAAAACGAGCCCGTTACGTCATTTCCTGATCGGAAAGTCCGAGTTCCGAGGACAACTGGAATGCGCAATAAGCCTGCCCAACGTCTCTCTACCAACACAGAGTGCTGTGGTTGGCCTGACCTACACTTAGCCAAGCCAATGGTAGACCTGCTGAAGAATGGAGCATAGCTAAACCAACCCGCAGAGAGAAATCTTCTCTACGGCTGCAGTTTGTCTAGAATTCTAGGCTAACACAACGGTGTATTTCTGGTGGGATTCCCAAAGTGGGAAACTCACAGAAGAGAAACCATAAACAAAAATTCAAAGAGAGCTGACGGAAAGTTTCAAGCTCCACCACTCATTCAAGTAAAAATCAGGTAGAATTACCTCTAGAAGCGTGTTTAAAAAAAAAATCTACCATAAGTTTGATCGCACAAGAAGATGGGAAAAAGAAATGAAGCTGAAGAATTTTCTGAAAAAAAAACTTAAAACATTCTGTAGTTTTTAATATAACTATACCAAAGGGTTTTTTAATTAGCCAACATGTTTTTGTTTTCTTCTTTGCACGTCCAATCTAAACTCTTGAGACTTTCACTAAATAAATAAATAAATAAATAAATAAATAAATAAATAAATAAATAAAAGGAGACAATATGACACATTTTACTGTTTGAACAAGACAACTAACCTGAACGGGTCAGCTTTATATTCAAAGGGGAACCCTTCTGAATGTTTTACAGACCCTGATCAATATTCAGTGCTCAACACAGAAAACACAGGAGCCAGCCCTCTTACCTTCAGTGCAGTATCGACCTACATATCCAGTTTTGGAGCAGTCACAGTAGGTTTCTCCATCTGCCAGAGAGCAGATCCCACCATTCTCACAGGGATTCTCCGTGCAAAGGCCCATCATCTCCAGTCGAACTTTCTGACTGTTGATTAACGTGGGAAACTTATTTCCATAGCTAAGATTAGTGATAATTCCTTTGAATGGTGGAAGCTCGCGGGCAGAGGGCAAGGTGATGGCCGATGTGCGGATGTCTCCCGGAAGTCCTCCCAGGAAAAGGTCGCTAACTATCTTCATGAACTGCCGTTGGGGCCGGACTTCTCCCGTCTTGGTCTGGCCGTCTACAGCTAAGCCAGTCCACAGATTTTGCCTGTTAATGGCGGCAAAGTGCCAACGGCTGTCGTTGACTCTCTTTTCAGAGGTGATGGTGGTCTCTGCACAATCGATGCTGACGAGGAGCTGCAGCTTGCCCTCAGACAAAGAGAGGAGTAGAAAATCACAGAATCCACCATCGTCGAAGTAGAGCAGCATGCCTTCCGATTGGGAGGTCTTGAATTGAAATGTCAGGTCACTTTTGGAGCTGGCGTCCCATCTCAGATAGCGAGCCCACTGATCTTCTGAGCCAGTGAACTCCAAGCTGACACTCAAGCCCAGCATTATACTTAGCAGCAGGAGAAAATGTCCAACCAGGCCACTTGGATCCATCATAGAGAACAGCAGGGCACGCTACCGAAGGTTTACAACTGGGGATATATTCTCAAAGTGATAATAACATTTGATTACAGTTCAGATCCAGGGTGTATCAGCTGAATGTTATATTCCACACAGATTACTTTAGAGTCTAAGGAGACGGAGCAATATCTTTTATCTTTCAGAGGCAGCTCTAATGTTGATAATGGATGGAGTCTAATCTCGTCAGCCAGGTCTATGGAGACAAGAAAAATCCAGTTTCCACACAAAGTGGATTGGTGAAAATGCTATGACGATGGTGATCCTGACAGTGTTTGGTCAGTGAATCAGAACTGCGTCTTGTGATCTCTCTTTGAGGCGACTTCCTGGATTGAAGCATGTAAGGATTTCTGCTGGTTTAGTTTTATGCCCCATGGTTTAGTTTTCAGCTTCAGGTCAAACAGATCTGTGGGCAAAGTAAAATAAAGGTAATGAATACAGTTTTAGACAAAATATGCTTGCAAACTGAAATAAATTATCTACGTGATGCGGTAAATATCTAAGGAAAGGGATTACAAGCCACAACAGCCTTTTTCTGGAAAAGTATTCAGCAAACTCCCTTGTGTACTTATCATATCAGTAAAGGCAGAGCAGAAGAATGCTTAATCCTCCCTGTGGGACTAGATAGTAGTGAAAGGACATTGAGAACCACGTTTAGTGTAGATCGGACTCACAATGTGTCCAATAAGCACCACAGAAAATAAACAGTAATACCATCCATTAGGCTTTTAAAAGCTTTATATACATGGGGGGCATTTCTACCGATTACTCACTTCATTTGAAGATTACTTCAAATTATCGCTCAGAGATTTAAGCTTAATCTGAGAGTTAATTTCCCAATTAATGAAAAACTAGTGAGATAAAAACATAAATAAAGCTTGTAGACTAGTTGTTGAAGGCATGATGGTTGGAAATCCATCAAGGTGAGAAGGAACATGTGCTTAGCTTTAAATGTTAGGCTACTATCTCTTAAAGCCTGCTGAGATGCTGACTACTATGACTAATTATCCACCACCAGTCTTTCTCCCATCCTCGTTTGCATGTCTTTGGGGGATTAAAACCATAAACAGCGATTCAGAGAGATGTTAGGATGGGCACAGATGAATTTCGCCCTAACAAATTACATGGTGAAACCTTATATATGTGTGTACTCTTCTAGCCTTTTGCCCTTGCAATTGTTTTGGCAGTGGGCTGCCAACCAGACAGGTGCATTGTCCAATCATGACAGTAGCACAGAATGGAGAAACACAATAGGTCCTTTAACCACCTGCCCTGAATAGTTAATCTTGCTGCAGCAGGCGAGCTATTGAATTCAGGTAACTGATACCTATGCTAATGCACTATGTGTACTCGCATGTGTGTCCCTCCTGTCCAGAATTGTATCTCTGACAACTCAGGGTTGCTAGGATGGATGATTGTTTTTGTCTTCAATTATTTGATGAAAAAGAAAAGTGGTTCCGTTTGGTAAAGTGAAGTAAACACTGCCCCGTCAGTCCCACTCAGTGCTTACACAGAATATATAGAAGGTAGGGTAGTTGGTTATTCCTCAAATAGGCAAAGGTGTATATGAAACCTTAGATGCTGGTTCAGAGTAGTAACTGGCTGGCGTTCTGTTCAATAAACATGACTCATTGTGTGTGTTAGCTGACAGAAATATCAGGTGTCCCTGAAGGCCATTGATGTATAGAAAGTTCTATTGTTCTCCAAAACAATAAAGATATTCCCCACGTCAGTGTTTGTTTGGTGATTACAATCCATTTATCTAAAAGAAGAAATCAAAAAAATTTCTAACAGCCTCTATATTTGATTTTTATCTTTGCATTCGCCTACATGCTAGCCAACACTGGCTCAAACAACCTTTAATTGGTAACAAGCTAAGTTTACCTGGTATATAAAGGAACACTTGGGCTCAAAGGCTTAAATTTAGGTTTAAAAACCCTTAACAGACTCAAGTCAGCCTAACCCAATACTTAATAAAATAGAGATAAAAGGCTTGTTTGGCTTAGATTTTATGTAATAAAAAATAAGTAGTTGCTGATTCAAACAAGGAATTGATTGGTCGTCTGTTCAGTATCATGACTTGTGTACCTGGCTGAAATACCAGGTGTCTCTGAAGACCAATTAGTGCCAGTATTCTTTTTACCAACAAAGTGTTTCCCCAGTTCAACGTTCTCTTGATTACTACAATCCACTTAAAGCAATAGAGTCGACAGATTTGACATAAACTAAGTGGAATTCCAATTTATTGTCAAACTTCAAACTCCTTCCTGGCTAGCCGATTAAAACTTTGTATAGTAACTTACTATATTTTAATGACATTGGTTCAGAAATAAAAATCTGATTCAGAACAATAAAGACCTGTATTATATTAAATTATTGTGAAACACTGTGTGGATTATCTGATCTAACTATCAGTTGTCCTTGAAGATTGAGCACTTATAGGAAATGCTAACCCTGCTGCTTATCTAGATAACATACTAAACATATTTAAGTCCGTTGTGTGCCTAGTTACAATAATCCATTTCCAAATATAAGGAAAAATTGCAAACATATATTTTTTTATTGAGTTGATATATGTATAGGTGGAATGCGGAACACGAACACTAAAGCGACATCTAGTGTGTGGAGTTTGTAGTTGCAAGAGTAGAACAAGGTTTCCAGCCACCAGAGCACCAAGTTCGCTGCCGATAAGTGATTTGTGTTTATTTGGGTCCATCTGTTGTAGGCTTCACCTAAACTCACTCTGGTTTTAGATCTTTTATGGTCGCTCCTCTTCTGAGAAGGATAACGACATCTTCTGGGCTCAGAAGCAGCTGCTTGACTTGCTGAGTCCAGCATTTTCCACATGGCCAGCCTTGCTATGCTGAGCGGACTGTTTGGCGACCCACAATAGTGCCCTCTATAGGCTGGTAGTGTTGTGCCCATCAAAATAAATATTTGATTATTTTTAAATTAAAATATGGCTTTAAAAAAATACTGTACCTTCTCTCTGCACACCCCTAAACGCCCCATGGAGGTGTTATTTAAAAAATATAGCTTTTTAATAAATTATTCCATACACCTTTAATTGGGATCTTGATTCATTGCCAAAAACAGCCCCCCTGTTGGCTAGCCTATAGGCTAAGACAAACAAGCTTAATGGGGTGACAACCTAGCTTAACGCAGAACACTTTTGCTCATGGGGCTGTTCTGTAAAACACCCTTAAGCTAAACCTGAGTCACATATTAGTCTTCACTCTTGAGGCAAAGCTATTTCTGCTCATTTTTGAATAAAACAAATTTCTAAGATGGATGTTAGAAGTAAACGTGCATTTGTTAAGTCCACATGGCTGATTTGGTTGTGGACCGTTCGCAGTGGCATTAGCTAGCTTGTTCTGTCATAACTGCTGCAGAGAAACATATTTTCCTGGATATACACATTGAATTATTAAATGGTGCAGGATATGATATGACCTGCGCAGCTACTGTCACACACTGGTAATAAATGATTCATTATGACGTCCAGCTCCGCTGCAGCAGATTTATTGACATGTTTTGTAATGTGGTCGAGTCCCCATCATGCACAAGGGACCACCCTCACTCAAGTTCATGCTGAGCTTCCTGTCCATCACAAGTTTCAGCCAGGAGGAACGATTCCATCCAACATCAGTCACAGCAGACAACAGGGGCCTACATTAGCAGAGTGCCCTGACCGGTCACGTTAGACAAAGCAGGGGCCACCAGGGTTTTGTTATAGCGGGCACCAAACAGTCACTAGCAAAAGACTTTACGGAAAAATGCTCAACTAAAACTTGGTGATTAATTCGAAATGTACAGCCCTAAAAAGTGGTTTTGTCTATTAAAATGACCTCACAACATGTTTTTGTGACCTTTAAATAGGCACAAATGTCTTACTATGTTAAAAAAAACAGTACGTTGTTGTTTATTTCTTGTTATTCAATGAAATTTCAATAAAATAAAATACAATAAATATATTTAAAAAATGCATGACTTCTTAAAGTGAATGTGGCCAACACGTATTCCCAACAGAGCCAATTGCTAGGAAATCTCCCTGATTTGGAGGAAGTTATTGTTCCAATCAATGCTGTCTAACTGGATTCCCTGTTGATTTTACATTTGCATGCTATGATTGAATTAAATATGCTGTGATATTATAGCTCATGATCCCGCCCCCCCCCCAATACAAACAAACACAATAATAATAATAATAATTATAATTATTATTATTATTACTGTAACAATAATCATAACGTGAGTAGCTACCTAAATAGTAAAACTTAAAGGGAAAACCAACATTGTAACGACTACCCTCTCCCTCTGCTTTACGCACGGTGGCACTCTGGCTGCTGCTCACTAGTTTACTGTCCATTCTCTTACAGCATACGGCGAAATTTTAACTAGAGTCTGGATAAAATTCGCAAAAGGAAAAAAAAGTCATTCATTTTTGGATGGTGTCGAAGCAGCTTTCGCTTTAATATTTGCGGTATTCTGCGCGTCTGCGCACCCAGATGAAACTTTCCATCTCGACGTTTCCTTCAAAACACACTTGAATTAAATGAGTGGGATTATCGCACGAGGAGCATTTAATTGTGCATTGTATTTAACCAAGCTAGTTTTTAGTTTATTTTTTATATGTTGAAGATAAAATTGTGCGCGAGAGCTTTCGAACTACTCATCCTGCGCGCATTAATCCCCATCTCAACCTAAACTCTATCCAAAATGCATAACAGATTAGCAGGAAACGACACATATCCCACAACTTCATCAGCAGCCCCACATAGCCCCTGGTTAATAGGGGGCGGGATTGACACATGAGAAAAGGTAGAAAATGGACTGTTCTTACCGCTTTCGTGTAATACAATTCCCAGATGCCTAAATTAAATTTATAATAATCCACAGCCGAAATCCATTTGGAAACGGGAGTATGTTCTCCTGCTGTTTCTTTCTGGTGATGTGGTGCTGATGCCTGGGGTGAAGCGGGGTTTAGCAGCAGAGGAGTAATGAAAAAATGCAGCGGTCGCTTTCCGCCAGCCCAGAGAACGTCTCAGCTCGCTTCTCTCAGCGCAACTGCTGATGGGCCGCTGGATTTCTCCCACAGTGACGGTCTGACCCGCCTTCTGCACGGCGCACAGCGGGGTGGGGTGGAGGGGGCACTCTCTTAATTGAAACGATGCTGATTGAACCAATTAAAGGTAGCTCTCATTCTTTCTTTCCTAAAAAGCTTAATAAAACATATCATTGCCCGTGTTGATGGATGACAATGCAACCGCAAATAAAGGACACCTGTCCTACTTAGGAATTTAAAGGGTATAGGTCTCTGAATGATCTCAGGTCCACTAAGAGGAACTTCCGCTTCTGGGGTTCCAATAAAATAGTAGAACACTGAAAAAACTGTTTGGTTCTGATTATAATTGGTCACTCTGACTTTGTCATGCAGGCTGAACATGACAATAGTCTCCTACCCAATCTACTGCATTAGTTTCTGACAGAAAATAGAACAAAAAAAACTCTTGGTTAAGAAAAGCCTGACAGATCTACATCACACTGTCCCTGAAAGTTGCTATTCAGGGGTTTCCTCTTTCGGGAATTATGTATGTTATTTTCAGAAATCAATTAAAGTGATTGTCCTATCATGTACTGTGATATCATGTAGGACATAAGTCTTTTTTTTTTGTTTTGCTGAGCCCTCCCCCTGTCCCATAGTGCTCAATGCAATATGAACTAGTTGAGTCTTCTTCTTCTTCTTCTTCTTCTTCTTCTTCTTCTTCTTCTTCTTCTTCTTCTTCTTCTTCTTGCAGAACACCTCAGGGCTTGGCTTATTTATGAAATATAAATGTTGCAGAGCAAACAGAGGTAGTGGAAGAGATTCATTGCTCCTAGCCAATCAGAGGAGAGATGTCCAAAATGAGGAAATAAGACTCCAAATCCTGTCATGTTAAGCTCTCCTCTTATATTGCAAACTTGTCCCTCGAGTATGACTTACAAGGCTTTTACTCCTACTAGAGACCACTGCAAATGTATTGAATGAACACGTGTTCAACACCTTTAACTAATGTTAGAGTTCCACACTCCAGTGCATACCTGAGCAGCACCAATTCTAAATGTTTGTAGTCATTTTATCAAGTCTCCTCCATTAGAAGTTCAGCACTGTGGACAGCGCTTTGTTGTTTGCGCTGATTCATGGCTGCTCTCCGTGGTGCTGAAAGGTTGTCAGGTTGTAAAAGAGAGAAATTCATGTAGACAGTAGGCCTTGATTTCATGCAATATTTATGACCCCATCACCTGGGACTGTTCTGGCACAGACAGAATTGTTGGTAACCTTCTGTTATAGAAAGAGAAACAAGAAAGCCACAGGTCATCAAAATAACAGGAAACTGACTCAAAATTATGATATATGGCTTTTAAAATGGTAAAACTAATGGTAATCCTATAAACATTGAAAATAAATGGATAATAATAAAACATGTACATGTAAAAGTAGAAACTATGTTGTTTTGTATCATGGTGTGTACCACAAGCATATTAAAGGTAAAGGCTAAAAGAAGACCCCATCACAGGCTGGTGTTCCTGTAACCTCAGTTGGGTGTGTAATTCATAATTATAATGTCCACTCTTCTGTAGACCGGTGGTTCCCAAACTTGGGGTTGGGACCCCACTGTGGGTCACCAAGAACAACACAGGGGATGTCGAGATGATTTCCGGAAATCTAAATAAAATTGAAAAACAATTGATGACGTTATATTGCTAGCATAAAACAATAACCCTAACCCTAACCTCATCTAAATTGCTATAAATCAATATTAAAAAAAACTTTGTTTTTACCCTTTTCTGACTGACAGTGTTGGCTCCCGTTGGTTGCCTTCGACGCAGGTGTAGCCCTGAAGCAGGTGTCGCTCTGACACAGGTGTAGTTCTGTCACAGGTGATGTCCTTATGCAGGTGTCGCTCTGACACAGATGTAGCTCTGTCACAGGTGATGTCCTTATGCAGGTGTCGCTCTGACACAGGTGTAGCTCTGTCACAGGTGATGTCCTTATGCAGGTGTCGCTCTGACACAGGTGTAGCTCTGTCACAGGTGATGTCCTTATGCAGGTGTCACTCTGACACAGATGTAGCTCTGTCACAGGTGATGTCCTTATGCAGGTGTCACTCTGACACAGGTGTAGCTCTGTCACAGGTGATGTCCTTATGCAGGTGTCGCTCTGACACAGGTGTAGCTCTGTCACAGGTGATGTCCTTATGCAGGTGTCACTCTGACACAGATGTAGCTCTGTCACAGGTGATGTCCTTATGCAGGTGTCGCTCTGACACAGGTGTAGCTCTGTCACAGGTGATGTCCTTATGCAGGTGTCACTCTGACACAGATGTAGCTCTGTCACAGGTGATGTCCTTATGCAGGTGTCACTCTGACACAGATGTAGCTCTGTCACAGGTGATGTCCTTATGCAGGTGTCACTCTGACACAGATGTAGCTCTGTCACAGGTGATGTCCTTATGCAGGTGTCACTCTGACACAGATGTAGCTCTGTCACAGGTGATGTCCTTATGCAGGTGTCGCTCTGACACAGGTGTAGCTCTGTCACAGGTGATGTCCTTATGCAGGTGTCGCTCTGACACAGGTGTAGCTCTGTCACAGGTGATGTCCTTATGCAGTTGTCACTCTGACACAGATGTAGCTCTGTCACAGGTGATGTCCTTATGCAGGTGTCGCTCTGACACAGGTGTAGCTCTGTCACAGGTGATGTCCTTATGCAGGTGTCGCTCTGACACAGATGTAGCTCTGTCACAGGTGATGTCCTTATGCAGGTGTCGCTCTGACACAGGTGTAGCTCTGTCACAGGTGTTGTCCTTATGCAGGTGTCACTCTGACACAGATGTAGCTCTGTCACAGGTGATGTCCTTATGCAGGTGTCGTTCTGACACAGGTGTAGCTCTGTCACAGGTGATGTCCTTATGCAGGTGTCACTCTGACACAGATGTAGCTCTGTCACAGGTGATGTCCTTATGCAGGTGTCACTCTGACACAGATGTAGCTCTGTCACAGGTGATGTCCTTATGCAGGTGTCGCTCTGACACAGGTGTAGCTCTGTCACAGGTGATGTCCTTATGCAGGTGTCGCTCTGACACAGGTGTAGCTCTGTCACAGGTGATGTCCTTATGCAGTTGTCACTCTGACACAGATGTAGCTCTGTCACAGGTGATGTCCTTATGCAGGTGTCGCTCTGACACAGGTGTAGCTCTGTCACAGGTGATGTCCTTATGCAGGTGTCGCTCTGACACAGATGTAGCTCTGTCACAGGTGATGTCCTTATGCAGGTGTCGCTCTGACACAGGTGTAGCTCTGTCACAGGTGATGTCCTTATGCAGGTGTCGCTCTGACACAGATGTAGCTCTGTCACAGGTGATGTCCTTATGCAGGTGTCGCTCTGACACAGATGTAGCTCTGTCACAGGTGATGTCCTTATGCAGGTGTCACTCTGACACAGATGTAGCTCTGTCACAGGTGATGTCCTTATGCAGGTGTCACTCTGACACAGGTGTAGCTCTGTCACAGGTGATGTCCTTATGCAGGTGTCGCTCTGACACAGATGTAGCTCTGTCACAGGTGATGTCCTTATGCAGGTGTCGCTCTGACACAGATGTAGCTCTGTCACAGGTGATGTCCTTATGCAGGTGTCACTCTGACACAGGTGTAGCTCTGTCACAGGTGATGTCCTTATGCAGGTGTCGCTCTGACACAGATGTAGCTCTGTCACAGGTGATGTCCTTATGCAGGTGTCGCTCTGACACAGGTGTAGCTCTGTCACAGGTGATGTCCTTATGCAGGTGTCGCTCTGACACAGATGTAGCTCTGTCACAGGTGATGTCCTTATGCAGGTGTCGCTCTGACACAGGTGTAGCTCTGTCACAGGTGATGTCCTTATGCAGGTGTCGCTCTGACACATGTGTAGCTCTGACACAGCTGTAGCTCTGTCGCAGGTATCAATCGGACGCAGGTGTCGCTCAGACGCAGGTGTAGCTCTGATGCAGGTGATGCCCTTACACAGGTGTCACTCTGACGCAGCTGTAGCTCGGACGCAGGTGTCGCTCCGACGCAGGTGTATCTCCGATGCAGGTGTATCTCCGATGCAGGTGTAGCTCCGATGCAGGTGTCGCTCCGACGCAGGTGTCACTCTGACGCAGCTGTAGCTCGGACGCAGGTGTCGCTCCGACGCAGGTGTATCTCCGATGCAGGTGTAGCTCCGATGCAGGTGTACGTTTATTCTGAAAATCTCGGGAAGCTTTGCTCCATTTCCGCGTCCAATTTCCTGTCTTTCCTTCCCCAAAAATGTTGAACTTGACCCGTTTCAGAGGCGTAGCGCGTAGAAAATAGAACCGGCGCATAAAAGCCGCGACATGCTGCTCCTAAGATGCGGCTAACTCGCGCTGCTGACGACTGCTGATGGCTCCAGTGGAAAAGGTTCTGTTGACCACAGCGATTCCTATCAGAAGCTATGGCGTGCTGCTGCAGTAACGTGCTGCTGCCAGCTCCGTCATGGCTCCGGTGGAATGGAGAGGGGAGAGAGAATCTGTGGACCTGACTGTCTCAGGAGCTGCAAGAGGCATGGATAAGGTGCCATTTTGAGGACTGAGAGAGAATAAATTGACTTCTTTGATTACTCTACCAAGAAGCATGATGAGTCCTTTTTCCTCACCACACTTTACAGTGTAACATCATTTAATTGATTTTCAGTTTTTTTATTATCATTATTTAATCAGCTTGAATTTATTGAAGTAACTTTTATACATTTTAATGACAAAAACAAACTATTTTATCCACATTTGAGGGTTTTTTAACTGACAGCTGAAATGTTGTTTGCCCAAAGCTCCACGGTGACATTGAGCCTCATCACTGTTTGTAGATTAGTGTTGGACATTTAAAAGGAGCGATGGTGCTCCCATGTGGTCACCATCATCCAGATGTGACCAATCAGGCTAAAGATCCCGAACCTTTGTATTTGTGAGTGAAACGGCTGTAGCCATAGTAGTGCAAACGCTGCAATATCATTCTTACTCTTGGACCATGATGCACTCTTTTATACTACAAATGGTTT